TTGGTTTCCTATTTCTTAGTATGTTTAAAGGGTAAATACAAATTGGTTAATCAACATTTGGTTTACTTTTATTTACTATAAATAAATTTTAATTCAATATAAGATTATGCTAATTGAAAAAAAATAAGAACAATGAAAATTTTAGGTTTAAATAAGAGAAAAAAAGGAAAGGAAGAGAATTCAGTCGTGACAATTTATATTGATGATGTAATTAGTATGAAGTTATTTTGATTTGTTTTTTTCGATAGTTGAAATCACGAGTCAATTGAAGCTAAATCACCATGGAAAACCTAGAAACACTGGACGGCCGGTTCATCCTAATATGGGACTCCTCAGTAGTGCGCATCCACGATCCCGCCCTCCACGAGATTCGAACTCAGCACCTATCAGCCTCGCGCGCGAGCGCTTAACCATTAAACCACTGAGCCGGCATCCAATGGTGTTAATGTCTAGCTCCAAACACCGCTGAAGAGTCCCATACTAGGACGAAACGAACATCCAGTGCTTCCAGGTTTTCCATAGTGGTCTAGTTTCAATCGACTCATGATTTCAACTAGTAACATTTTTTAAATCTCCATAAAACCCCTTCTGATCTCTTTTTTGATTAATTTTAGTTTATGCTGTAGTTATGTTTCATAAATTGGATAATTGAGTTGAGTTTTCATGGTTATTCTGCCAAAAATATTATTAGTATTTATTTACTTTGTATAGATGGATAGTGGCTAGCAGTGGAATCTAGGTCGTGCATTTCGTCCTATTTGGGACTCGTCGGCTGGATATACCTGAACATTCCAGAGTTGATATTCGCTCTGGGACTCAAACCCATTACCGTTCGCTTCAAACGACATTACGTTATACACTTAGCTACTGAATCCCGACTGGGCTCCCAACTCTGCCTGTAGCTCTTTTAGAGTTACTGCCGCTCCCAAGTCCAGGTAAAGGAGAAGGGTTGGACATGGGGTTAGAGACCTCACCCCGTAGAAAAATAATTCCCTAACCCGTAACTTTGTATAGAACTTTCAACTTAAGTAGGATCAGATTAGTTGTGAAATTATTTTTTTTCGATGACAGCTTAAAAAATTTTGAACTACCAACATGATTCTAAAAGTGAACAATTTTCATTTAATTAACACCCAATCAAAAATTCACTGAAATAAACATAATCAAGATTAAATATTCATCAGAATGAGACCTTTGGCTACAAAAAAGGTTAATCATCAAACTTACTTTCATTGATTATTTACTCCATCTTATTTAATTAGACAGTTAGTGTAACTACCACAAGTAAGTTACTGAGCCTTCCATAGTCCTACATCTAAGTGATGAAATTTTTAGGATTTATAAAAATAGTTATCAGCAAACAGAATTAGTGCTAATCAAATCAAATAATTAACAGGTCACACAAAATTAATGCGATGAATAGGCTGTTACATTTTTTCAACAGCATCTTTGAAAACTATTGGTTTTTATATTAAAAGTATGTAGTTCTACTAATAAGAGTTATTAGCCTAAATAGTATTCCTTCCTAGTATTTTAAACTAAATCTCTCATGGGAAAGTTCATAAGTCTGAATCATTCAAACTCGTTGCGTACAAAGGTATATTCTGATGAATGACGACAACTTTTATCTAAGACTCTTATGGAACTTTAGCATTATGAATATTATGAAAGTGTTAAGATGACTATATCTGTGGGTTAAAATAAGAGGAAATAGTTGACTAAAGTTTGTTTAAATTAGGTATGTACTAAGTGTCGGAACTTTGTCCTCGTTATGAGTTTAAAGTATTCATACCCTCATCAATTTTCTCAATCTTAAGGGAAATTGATGTAATTTTAGACAATTTTAAATTTTACCTTGCATAAATTTTGTTTAATAGTTCCTGTAATTACAGCTGTGTCTTAATGGTAGATGATAAGCCACCGGAAACCGTATTGAAGCTCCTCTAGTCAAGGCCTAATGCAGAAGTAGGCTGATAAACACATACTCTGCTTAGAAACCAGTATAATATAACTCCATAAAGTCAGTGACTTTCATTCATTGAAGTGCAAGAATGTGTATGCTAGTTACGCTGACAGATACACGTAGTACGTAGCACCAATCTGCAGTGGAATGTTTTGCAACCGAAGAATGAATTAAAGACAACTAGAAGAGAAATGAGGAGCCATTGTATTAACAAAAGAGTTGGAACATTCATAAAGAATGTAAAGCAGAAGTGAAGGGAGATGTGTAAATAATGTTTTAATGTGTGTATTTTAACAAGACACTTTAATTTTACATTAAACAATAAATTGGTTTTCTCCACAAAGTCTTCGTTCATTAAAGGTGTAATTTATTAAAAAGTGATTATTTAAATGACAGAAATATCAGGCGGTTTGCTAACATATATTCATCTTATTTAATTATTTTTCTATAATTAACGTTTTAGTGGCCCGTGGATCTGACTCCAATCAGATCGTATAAATGTTTGTTATCGCCTATCCTCGTATATAATCGTCGACTTAAATCGCGTTAGTCAATAACGGAATTAAATAAGTCAAATAACGAGAATGGACTTGTGAATAAACATATTTTGTATATAAAGCGAATGTAATACAGAGAAGAGAAACGACGCGCATTGGTGATGGCGGATAAGCCAACTCCCTTTAACCAAGCGTTAATCAATAGTTATAGTTACACAAAAGTAATTTACGGACATGTGATGAGAAATGGGATAAGAAATGTACACACACCTACGCGCTCATATAAAAACAGTTAAGATTGATAAGCGAATAATTAACAACGTCAGAATGTGACTCAAGTAGAATGAATAGAATGGGCTGTCCGAAAACTAGGATAAGGTATATGGGCTTAATATAATAACTGACACTACAACCTATCTTTCAGCATCGGATTAAGTTTTTGTTTATATCTTTATCATCTTTTCTAGGAATTCCTTATTTCTATGCTATTTTAAATAGTAGAGACTTAACTATGCTTACTTTAGTATCCAGTAATTATAAAATGATGTTCAAGTTTTTAGTAATTCATCTATTTATTGCATATTCTTTTAACATCTGATTTAAACGCAAACAGTTATAACCAAAATAATAATTTCAATGAAATGCATTTACACATGTACGAATAGTAGATTTGGCTAGTTTTCAGTACTAGTAACAATGGGAGTTATTTAGTGATCACAGTGAATTAAAATGTTTACATTATTTCACAATGAAATTAAATGTTTTCAATTTCAATGGATTTAATTTGTTCATATCAATTGGATATTTGTGCTTTTTTCATTTCTAATGCCAAATGCCTAAATGAAGAATTTAATTTGTCTCGTATAAATGATGAATAGCCACTAGATAGTGAAACATCTTCAAAAGATCCTGAAAAAAACAAAATATGCAGAGATGATTTTATCCAAGTCAATCATTAAAACGTTTGACAAATATTATGATAATGATTATGAGAATCAGACAAATACAAATATGAAACACATTTTCGTTACTTTGTTGAGAAAGGTTATTATCAGATTTACGTGGGATTGATATAAACCTAATGAAGTATATTTAGTACTGAGTAGATCATTAGTCTATGAAATAACTTAACACATTTTACATATCACCATAGTTGCATAATGTTCTGATTAGATTATTCAAGCATATGATTATTGAAATCTGACAAGCACCAATCGATCAGTTTTATGGAAAGATAATTAAAATTAGTAGTTCTACAACTCGTCATATTTTGCTAAATTTCAAACGTTTGAAGATCATCAACCAAAATTAATGTACCATTAGAGAAGCGTTATTTTGACTTAGTTTAAGAAAATGTGACAGCTTCAACTAAAACGTCTTTCTTATAGACTCTTGTCTTCGTTGATTTTCACCATGATTTCTGATAGAATTTCTACATCATTAGAGAGTGCTGAGTTCATGGTAATAATCTAAAACCTTATTACATCAGCAATTCAGAAGTACTAAACTGTCCATACTTTTCTACAATTCACTACGTCTACTGAAATATTTGTGATTGTTATGTGGCCTTAATAGTTAAGGAAAACTAAAGCTTTAGATGTACAATTGTCACTTCAGTATTCCACTGATTCTACATTTTACCAATTGACTACAAAACTAAACATGTTCTGTTAATGCTGGTTGGAGGCTTATGCTCCATTGGGGGTAACAGGCGTAGGTAACTAAGTGAGTAAGTTAATTCTTCAAACAATAGTTTACCAGAAAACCCGGATATAGTGACAGGTCTTCAAATATTTAATGACATTTTTTCTTACAACTGCAAAATATTTCAACTATTTTCTTGATTTCTGCAACTACTATGAAATTAAGTTTGACCAGATATGATTTAAAATACATGTTTAAATATTATACAGGATTTCCATAACAAAATCTGTACCATGTTTGCTTTAATCAAAGCTATGATTATTATCAGAAAGGGATTCGTTGAAATTCATAGTAATTTAATAGTTGGGTTCATGAGTCAATTGGAGCTTTCGGGTTTTCCATGGTGGTCTAGCTTCAATTGACTCATGAAGTCAACTATTCTTAGTAATTTAGTTTCTTATTGGTTTGTTACTGGTACTAACTTGTTACGATAGAAGCATGAAGATCTAACAGTACAAGGTGTGTTGTGAACTTTATGCTAATCATCTATACAAAGTTAGATACTATTTTGAAAAAATGAAGACAACTCCCTAAACCTAGATAGTAGAGGGATTTACAGGTTAGTTTAAAGAGTTATTAGGTCAGTATTTTCATATTCATTATTTTAAACTACGGTTCTACTATTTTAGGGATGAAATGCAATTTTATCGAAATAATTAACAAATCAAATTATTAACAGAACAGTTTGATTTATTTTTTTCACGAAAAGTTTAACAATTAGTCTAATTGTTTACCTTTTCTATCGTTAGGGTTTTTCAGGCACAAACTTCTGTCTTGTGAATAAGACCTTATTGGGCACATAGCTGAAGTAGATTTGATACGATGATAACGCCGATGGTTATTCGATATGCTATCAGTGTACTTATTACTCTGATATTCGGAAATCAGTTGTTGCTTCTGCCTTTTATTGTTCACATTATTTATAATGTCCTTATTGCTGCTTTTATTATAATGCTTATCATTAGTGTAGTATGTTGCTGACATTTTGTCTGTTGATTAATATGACTGTTGTCTTTATAAAGATTTGTCGATATGTCATTCATTTCATCTGGTGACTTGCATATTCTTTCAGAATTCATATGTTGAAGAATATGATAACCATAGAATTTTGATGGATTTGTGGGTGCTACTGCTGTTATTGATGACGATGATAATGATGATGATGAATATCTTACAGGTTTCATATTTCTTGTTGCATAAGGTTCATGTGACAAAGTTTGGTAACTATTTGAAGTACACGTAATATTATGAAACGATTTGGTAGCATTTTCATCCCAGTTGGATGTTTGGGTTTGTACTGAAGAAATATTCGTTGGCTTTTTATCAGATGATATTTCTGAAGGTAACGATGATTCTTTCAGCGTGTTATTTGATGCATTCACAAATTTGGTATTCATAACAGCGTTTGTGAGACAAGTTTTGGTATAACTACAGTTGTTTAAATCAGTACTATCATTTATTACTGATAGCGTTGATCCAAGAAAATTTTTATTATTTAATTTAATATTTGGTTGAGCTGATTCTCTCTTTACTGATGATTGAAATGTTTTACTTTTCACAGATGATAATGGTGAAGATTTATTGTGTGAATCACTTCCATTATCTAATTTATAATGCTGCTTCAAATACACATTGTTATTTTCATCAATATACTGAGTAATTGTTTGTGATTGATTTGAACATTCGTCTGTCCTGACAATAGTTTTGATATTATTCAAATCTATACATTGATTTTCAACAGAACTATCATTTGGATATCCTAATGAAATGGAATCATCTATTTTATGATAGTCACGGAGGTCAATTTTATTTGAACTGTAATTTGATGTTTTTGGATTTGTACCACCTTGTGTTTTGAAAAACTGGCTAGATTTCTGAGGTGAATCTAAATTCTTCAAATGTACAGCTCTACACAGAAAAAAAGTATAAGGGTATTTAAATAATAATGTGCGTACTAAAAATTATTTTTAATACACTTAAACTATTACGTACAATTAATTTGTATCAGCTATTTAAGCTTTCCGATTGATGTTCAAGACTTAAATTGATCTGTCGCTGTAAGCATCAGTGCATCCTCTGTGTATCGTTTCGATAGTCTCATTAAATTATGAGGACTATTTACCAGAGTTGAACGGCGACCAGAAGTAGAATCTAGAACTTACGTTCCGTTCTGTTTGGGGCTTATCAACCCAATGTGCCTGCATCTCAAAGTTCTTGTTCACTTCTCGAACCCAATTCAGTACCTTTCGGTTCGAATGCCAACTTATTATCCGTTTAGCTACCGATTCCAGATAGAAATGTTGTGAAGTTCAGTTCATTTATATTGGTTGTTTGAATCTTTTCACTGTCATTTGGGACTTCAATTGACCAGACACTTTTGAAATATGTGCATTTAGTGCAGATTGCACAATAGTATAATGTCAAGGCATAAATATTTACTGTGTCTAATCTTTACTTACATAAAAAATCAGTCTTAAACTGGTAACCATGGAACTCAGTGCATCTTACAAAACGAGATATTGATTTAAGTTATTTGTGGTTAACAGCCTCACAGACCAGTTCGAAGTTTTGAATCTTAACTGGTGTCTAATTCAGCTCCAAGTGAGTTCTGATAATAAATTTTCAATATAAAGATCATGTTGAGCGGTTAGATATTGTAGCACATTGCTCACGATCACAGGTAGATAGGTATGGATGTTCATAAGCTCTGAGTCAAAGCAAATTAGCGTTTTCCATAAAGACCGATCTCAATAGGGGTTGAACTTCTATCACACAGTTTTACAGTCATAGATTTCATCAAATAAATGTTTAGATTAAAAAGTATGATTGTTACTCAATAACCGATTAGTATAAACCGTTGAATTCCCTAAAAAACTACTTTTTTAGGGAGGATAGTCCAGTAACAATATTTGTGTCATCGTATCCGGTTAGTTAGATGGTTATCTAAATATAACTGCATTTAAAATGTATTTAAGTGTACTGGATATTATAAATTCAGATTCACAAATGGTATATATAAAAATCTTAGATAACTTAACTCCGCTTAAAATAAGTCACCAATAAATTTATTTAAGAACGTAGAAACAATCTATTACTTACTTTTTACATAAATTGATTACGGATTTTAAGCCAGCTATAGAAACGCCTGTCATTTCACCTGCTATGGACAAAGATTCGGTATTTAATTCATTTGAAATAAGTGCTATTCGATCTGGTAAAGTTTTGTCGTAAAAACAGTGGACAAAGGAATCACAGGATAAATCCTCATTACCTTCCGAATTATGATAGAGTGTCAAAAACACATATTGAAGTATATCATAGTAGTAAAAAGATGGTGAACGTGAACCTAATGTACCACCAATTATGTTCTCCTGGTAAGCCCCTTGAAGAAAGGTCAACATTCGGTAACCTCTAGATCCATGAACTGGAAAAATACATTGAAAATTACCAAGTGAAGCACGATAACGTTCATCTATTAAGTTGACTAATGTACGCAAATCATCCGGTGAAAGTTCCAATAAAATATGACGTAATATATTCATAGGATCCTAATGTGTGAGAATGACAAGAGATTTTCAAACTGTTTGACTCAATTTATGAATAAGTATAATCAATAATGAAAAAAACTTGATAGGAACTTTTAATCTTTTCATTCATAAATGTAATTCATGAAATTTGAAGGTCCTTATTTCAGTATCGGAAAATCTTACATATTTCATTCATTGAATCAAAATAATTATGACTTTATAGTATTTAAACATTCTCTCTACTATTAAAGTTCTTTATGATTAATTTCTGTTAGCGATAGATGTGACCGTTATTTAAGAAAAGTATTGGAAGAAAATATCATGAAACAGAAGTTGAGATAAGTTATTAAATTAAGAATACTGAGAGAAAACAATTGGTTTGGTTACATTTTTGTGTGAACAAAACAGGCAGATCAATCCATTAACTGTAAATACATTGATATAGCAGAATGTGAGCTATATTACACAGTCTGAATACAAAGATATGATCTAGCGATTAACTTATTAGACGGTTGTGTAACATTTAGTTCACTCCGAAATATATAGTATTTCATTCCCAAAGTATCATCTGATGTAAAATAGTTCACTGACGAAAGATTGCTATAATCGAATGTTTATTCATGGAATTTGACATAACATTAAATAAAGGGAATAATTCAGTGACATAGTTAAAGTATGTAAACTTGAAAGAGTAAAGCCATAGGAAAGTGAATGTAAAAAGATTAAAAGTGAATAGCAAAAATAGTATTTGAAAATATCGCTCCTCTTTGATGTATATTATAATTAATAATAAGGATGTTAATGAAATCGCTCATACTTGATCCGCCAGAACTTATATTACTGTTCACCATTCCTTCTTTTAAATATATAAGTTAACTGGAGGTAATCTTTGAGAGTGTAATAATAAAATAACAAATAAATAAATTATATCTTAGATATTATTACAGAATCTGTGACAACTTATAGTCATGAACAGATTGATCCAGAAAGCAATGTTATATTTTAAAGATAGGTAGACGGTCCAAATGATTATTTGAAAAGATATGGTTCATAAAATATCTTGAACGGACAAGTATCTGGTGGTTTATACCAATGTGAAACAGGTCGTCAAAGGTGGTCTATTATCGATCGGTTAATGATTTTAATAAAAGTTAAGTCTCCACAACCCCATACTGATAAATGGATAATTTTTTTAAAATTAATCATATTAATCAGGGATAGTGTATTTTTAAAATATCTACAACAAGGTAATGATAAAGATTTAATACCCTATTTAACACCCTTATCAAGTTGTAGCTGTAAGTATTTTTCGAAGTTTCGAAAGAAAGGTAACTCTTGATATAGCTAAAAATGACGAAACTAATTTCATATAACGGACAAATTGCGGCAAACTGCTTCAAAGTCTCAGAAATCTGCTCGCAAAGTAATTCCTATGGCTCCTTGAGACTATAAGAGAGGTTGTAGATGTACTAATTTTAAGATAAGAGAAAAATAAATTGTATAAGGTCTGGTAAAATATGCTTATTTCTTCCATAATAATACTTACTTACTTACGCCTGTTACTCCCAATGGAGCATAGGCCGCTGACTAGCATTCTTCAATCCACTCTGTCCTGAGCTTTCTTTTCTAGTTCCATCCAATTCTTGTTCATTTTTCTCATGTCTATCTCCATTTCTCAGCGTAATGTGTTCTTTGGTCTTCCTCTTTTCCTTTGGCCTTGAGGATTCCATGTGAGGGCTTGTCTTGTGACGCAGTTGTGTGCTTTCCTCAATGTGTGTCCTATCCACTTCCAGCGCTTCTTCCTGATTCCTTCCTCCTCTGTGATCTGGTTTCTTCTCTCTCACAGTAGGTTGTTGCTAATAGTGTCCGGCCAACGGATCCGAAGTATTTTGCGTAGACAACTGTTAATAAACACCTGTATTTTCTGGATGATGGCTTTCGTAGTTCTCCAGGTTTCCTCCCTATACAGTAGAACTGTCTTGACATTTGTATTGAAAATCCTGACCTTGGTGTTGGTTGACAGTTGCTTTGAATTCCAGATGTTCCTCAGTTGTAAATATGCTGCTCTTGCTTTGCCGATCCGCGCCTTCACATCTGCATCAGATCCACCCTGTTCATCAATGATGCTGCCCAAATACGTAAAGGTTTTTACATCTTCCAAATCTTCTCCGTCAATTGTGATTGGATTGGTGCATGTTGTGTTGTATCGGAGAATCCTGCTTTTCCCTTTGTGTATATTGAGACCTACTGCTGCTGAGGCTGCTGCCACACTGGTCGTCTTCTCCTGCATTTGTTGTTGCGTTTGGGATAGAAGGGCCAGATCATCTGCGAAGTCCGGATCGTCCAACTGCATCCTAGATGTCCATTGTATCCCGTGCTTCCCTTCAGACGTTGACGTCTTCATGATCCAGTCGATCACCAGGAGAAAGAGAAAGGGTGAGAGTAAGCAACCTTGCCTAACACCGGTCTTCACTTCGAACGACTTTGTCAACTGTCCTCCATGCACAATTTTGCAGTGTAATCCATCATAGGAATTCTGTATGATATTGACTATCTTCTGAGGCACGCCGTAGTGTCGAAGAAGTTTCCATAGTGTTGTTCTGTCCACGCTATCAAATGCCTTTTCGTAGTCAATGAAGTTGATGTAGAGTGATGAATTCCATTCAATTGATTGTTCCACAATGATCCGTAGAGTTGCGATTTGGTCTGTACACGATCTATCCTTACGGAATCCTGCCTGTTGGTCACGAAGTTGGGCGTCTACGCAGTCCTTCATCCTGTTTAACAATACCCTGTTGAAGACTTTTCCCGGTATTGAGAGAAGAGTGATGCCCCTGTAGTTATCACAGTTATCAGAAGTCCTTCTTTCCAGTCTTTTGGTACTTGTTCCTCATCCCAAATCTTATTGAAGAGAATGTGGAGTATCCTTGCAGTTGCCGCTACGTCTGCTTTTAGTGCCTCTGCTGGAATGTTGTCCGGTCCTGCTGCTTTGCCACTCTTGATTTGTCTGATGGCCATGCTGATTTCTTCAATTGTTGGTGGGCCAACATTGATTGGGAGGTCCGTGGGTGCTGCTTCGATGTTGGGTGGGTTCAGTGGAGCTGGTCGATTCAAGAGTTCTTTGAAGTGTTCTACCCACCTGTTTTGTTGCTCTTCAATGTTGGTGATTACCTCGCCTTCCTTGCTTTTCACTGGTCGTTCTGGTTTGCGGCGATTTCCAGAGAGTTTCTTTGTCGTGTCATACAATTGTCTCATGTTTCCTTCTCTTGCAGCCTTTTCCGCCGTCGTTGCTAAATCTTCCACATATTTACGTTTGTCGGTTCTGATGCTCCTCTTCACTTGTTTGTTTACTTCTGTGTATTCAGCTTGTGCCTTGGCTTTTTCTGCTCTTGTTCGACTGGTATTGATTGCTGCCTTCTTGTTCCTCCTTTCTTGAATCTTATCCAGTGTATCAACAGTGATCCATTCCTTGTGATGGTGCTTCTTGTGACCCAGGACCTCATGACATGTTGAAGTGATTGCCTCTTTGATCCCCTTCCAGTTGCTCTCCACAGTAGTTCCTTCTCCATTGAGTAGATCATGAAAGGCCTGGAACTTGTTGCTGAGGACTATCTTGAATTTGTTGAGTTTGTTAGTATCCTGAAGAAAGGCCGTATTGAACTTTTGTGATATTGTCCGCCCCGTTGTCCAGTGCTTCTTGAGTTTCAATTTCATCTTGGCGACCAGCAAGTGATGATCTGATGCTATATCAGCTCCTCTCTTGGTTCTCACGTCCTCTATAGTCCTCCTGAACGTTTTGTTGATGCAAATATGGTCGATTTGGTTTTGTGTGTGTGATCCGGTGAAGTCCATGTGGTTTTGTGTATGCGTTTATGTGGGAATATGGTGCCGCCTATGACCAGTTTATTGAAGGCACATAGATTTGCAAATCTCTCACCATTTTCGTTCTTTCTCCCAGTCCGTGTCGTCCCATGATGTCTTCATATCCAGTGTTGTCCGTTCCAACCTTGGCGTTGAAATCTCCCATCAGAATGGTCAGGTCCTTTGTTGGGCACTTCTCGACGATTGACTGCAGCCTATTGTAGAATTGATCTTTAGCGTCTTCATTGTAGTCGTTGGTAGGCGCATAGCATTGGATGATGTTCATTGAAATACCCTCTTTCTTTGTTTTGAACGAGGCTTTGATGATCCTTGGTCCATGAGATTCCCATCCTATAAGTGCATTTTGCGCTTGTTTGGACAGCATCAATGCAACTCCTTGTGTATGTGGTGCATTTTCATCTTCATGGCCGGAGTATAACAGGAGCTCTCCTGTAGTTAGTCGTTGTTGTCCAACTTGTGTCCAATGTGTTTCACTGATCCCAAGTACCTCTAGGTTGTATCTTCTCATTTCTGCAGCAATTTGGAAGGCTCTCCCGGTGTCCCACATTGTACGAACATTCCATGTACCTAAATAAATGGTCGCTCTGGTTGTCAGAAGGGGCATCGGCCTCGTAACTTCCGAAGGAATTCGGCTTTCATCATGAGGCGTCATAATTCTTCTAAATGAAGACCTTCTGACTCCCAGGGCAGAGTTTAAAAGGTTTGAATAATTTTTTCTGGTTAGCGTTTTTTTAGCGAGTTAGTTTTCTACGGGATGGGGACGCTAACCCCATGTCTAACCCTCTTCCTTTATCCAGGCTTGGCACCGGAAGTAGCCCCCGGAGTGACTCCTGGACAAAAAATCATTCTAATCTGAACCTATTTACTGAGTGCAAAGAAAGTCCAAGTGTGAATGTTTGCAGTCCGCATATCATCCAGTGTTTGTAGGAGAAAACTATCAGAGAGTTATAAAGTAATGGAGCGAACAGTGACAACCATTTTATGGTCTCTGACTTTAAATTCTCCATTTTCATGTGCAGAAAATAGAACATAATCTCTTGAAAAAAACTAGGTTAAGTACACTATTAAAACTTGCCGGTATATCAAGCGACTGTGACCAACAGGCCCGATCTCTGAGTGTAAAAGCAATGCGTGCAACTTCTCAACAATCTAAGGCTCTGATGCTCTTCAGTATGTTTTGGTCTTGTTTTGTTCTTATTATTTGGTAGTTATTTAAACCTTAAACAGCTATTGTTATCTGACAATTTTTGGATTATTATTCCATTGGTTTAATGACCTTTACGTTTTTTATTACAGTTACAATCACAAATTGTTCTTTGCTAGACTGCCAGGGAGAACCTGTGAGCACTCGACGTTCGTTTCGCCTACGTAAAGGACTCCTCAGTAGTGCGCGTCCATGAGAATCGAACACTGTACTTTCGGCCTCGCAAAAGAATGGTTAATGTCTGAATCATTAGGCCGGTATCCATAGATGTTAATGTCCATCATCAATTAATCCATGACATCATGTGATCATCTTGTCTTCGGTGGTAAACTACCTCAATCAATCTATAATCTTGTGCAACCCGTCATTCATTGCCCCTGTTTTTTATTTATTTTTCATATATGTTAGTTGAACAGTTATATTTCAGACCAGTAAGTTATTTTCAACCTCTTAATTCGTATGCAGCGTTCTTTTGATATTTAAAATCTCGGATCAGTTTATGATGCCATCACCTCCTATTCTTTTTCTACTCGCATATTTATCAAACAACTATGAGTATTTATGTACAGCTCAAGTAAATGATTTCGTCAAAAACAAAATTTTCTTTACTGAATTGTTTTTATTTTCCGTAAGCCCATGTTTGGTAGTTTTATCTGGGACCATATGAGAACAATTTTACTTGGTAAATTCACCAGTTTACTGTTCTGAATCGTTCAGTTGTTCAGCAGCTGAATGTGAGTGGTTTTTATTGAGACAAATCCACTGATACTAGCCATCTGGGAGGTTAGCTGCATTAAATACCGTGTTCCTATTCGAAATAGGTAGGGCGTTGTGATGTATGTGGTAAATAATACCATTATTTCTGAAGATCATTCGCTTATTGACTTCAGTAGTCGTAAGATCAATGACAGATGCAGCTTTAGTAAAATCCTTAAGATCAGAGGGGACCGCACCTATGAAAAATAATAGCATAAGAGATGATAAAGACCTGATTTCCTATTTAAAATCATAAAGGTTTGCAAAGGAACTTCATTTTGGAACCCATATTCCTTGGTTCCTTATTTACACTGTCTATTATTTATTTCAAGTTATCTATGCGATAACGTTTTAGTGGGCTTCGAGTGTGTACGTTATATATTGAGTCAACCAATAGTCATCTCACGAACCATCAATGACATGATCTGTTAAGCAAGGATTCAACATGTTTGGTGTAAAGTTAATACGAAAATTAAAATTAACAAATGAATTCAGACTATTTTGTAATTTTTCGATATAAGTCTCCTTTCGACTGCTATAGTAACATTATATGATATAATATGTGGTATATCATATAAGATACTCAACAAAACACCAAAATCAAACTTTTTCCAGAACACTTTCAAATGTGCCGCAATAATTAGACGTCCCGTGAATGATTTAGCATATATATATATATATATGTCAATAATGCTCAGACTTATTGAAAGCTTTAGTGATACATTCACTTTTAACAAGCTACTTATGAAATTAAATAACAAGATTATCAATTAATTATTATGGTACAATTGTATTCACTATGTTGTTTTAAAATCTCCAAGTAAATATTTACTAAGTGCTATTACATACTAATTAATTATGATTATGATTTTATTTGCTGAGATAGCACGGAACAGTTTTTTGATAATGTAAATTCAGTAAAAGCAAACAGATTAACATTATATTTCATTTGCTTAAGTAACTATCACAGAAATCTGATTTGAGATCTATGACATTATATATGATGTTTCATAATAGTCAATAAAATATGTTTGGGAAAACTAAAGCCAATGATATTGTCATAGAGATCTAAATGTTTTAATGATGAAACTAAAGCTGAATAACTAATGGTGTTCAGAATCCAGTTTATGCTGATTAACTAAATCAATAACAGCGTATTTTTGTGTGGTTAATACATATTATATATTTCATGGATTGAAGTACGAATACATGAAGTTAATATGTTGTAATTAATGGAATTCGGTAACTAACTTTATGCTTATTATATAATCAAAACATTTATATAGAATAAATTACAAAATATGATATTGCCCATTGATGTTAACCATAATCTGGATGAACAACCTACTCATAAATTTAAAGTAATAAACATTGTCCAACCACAATGTTAAGTAAATGTATTGAAAAAGATTTATAGAATCTATATACTCAATTAGATTTCAGATGTAATGTATTAGAGTAACTAGTTCTTTTAAAACTTGAAAAGCTGATCTTTATATGATGCATGAGGAAACGCTTATTTAAAATCAACATTTTGCACCAACATTTTAGTTCGTTATATATAGCAACTTTCTGAACAAAAAATAAAACATTATTTCCTTTCACTCAGTCAGTACAGCTGAGAAAGTTTGGTTTATTTTTCTTATGAAATATATGTTATAAATAACTTATATTTCGTTGAACAGTATTTTCTTGAAAATAGTAATAAATCACTTATATAATATTCAGATTCCTTTATTTTTGTGCATTTCACATAATTAATGTACTTAATCATCTATACGTGTGTCAGTTGTTACATAATAACAGAAAATCATATTTATTTGATGTGATGCAATGGGAAATTTTCTAAACTCGGAAACAACACCTCCAAACATTCAGCTATATTTTTCTATAATGCTTAACTTTAACATTATTACATTTCTCATTTTTATCTATAGACAAAAATAATCTATGTTTTGGTAGTTTATAACGAAAAACTTGGCAGTCTGTTTAAATTATTACGTCTTGTAATTATTAGTTTGAACCTAGATCGTATATCATAGATCTGTTAGATGAAATTTAATTCTCAATGAAATACTGTAAACAAGAATACTTCTTCATGAATGTGACTGGTTATTTATTAGTCGTCAATTAACCTTACAGTATAAGTTTAAAAAATCTTAGCTTGTATACATGAATGAAGAAACCTCGATTTTGTCGAAATCACACACATACATACATACATAGAAAGAGAGAAAGGTTTTGAAGATTTACCTTTGAAAAATTTTCAGTAGTGGTAGTAGTAGTTGTTGCGTTCTTCATGTTATGTTTGCATAATCTGTTAAAAAATTGTGATGATTTATCCTATGATCGAAACGAAAACAAAAAAACTATATTTAAACAAATGAAATATGACCATTTAGCAGCATGATAGTTCAAATAGAATTAGGCTGAGTGTCAAAAGACGTTAGTGTTCAAGATGAAGGCCGTCAATGAAATCCAAATGTTATTTTCCAGACTGTATCTTTCAAAGAAACAAAGTATTCAAACTTCGATGCATGATATGTTTGATATTTATAATGGCATGAAGTAAATTCAGTTTTTACAAAACAAGAGATTACTCAATTAATCACATATATTTAAACTAATTAACATATTTTTGTGCTGCACTTGGTACATCCATGATTCTAGCTAAGAAGCTCTAATGTCGAAGAGTTGTAACCAGCTTCATTCACCTGGCCATAATTTCACAATGACCTCTATTTGTCAAACGTAAAAGGGTTATCTCAAATAACTACATTATAAATTGGCGTATTTGAAGCTACATCTCTGCCTAGATTTTGATCTAGGACTATTTGTAGCAAGGGAACATTTAAATCACAATATGCTTACAACTTGAAATAAAAATATCAATGGAAACATGGCATGTTAACTGTTTATTCCATTTATAAACACAATTATAACATTCAGCTATAAATCCATCGAAAGTGTATTTCTTTTCATTTTCTGTAATTAGGAAGATTTATAAACCGAAATACTTTAGTTAACAAGTCAAGTCATGCACCATAATCCCATATAATTTTACCTTTGAAAAAATTAATAGATTTCTGCCAATTTGTTAACTTGGAACTACATATGAAACTATGGTATACTAATAATGTCACAAAATATTACATAACTTCATAATAATTGTAGTGTGGGTCACTTACATCCATATAAGTAGTATATAACAGTGGTCAGGCATAGATTGTATTTTAGCAGAAGATCGATAAGGAAAGAACGCCAACGGAACGAAATTGGTATGAAAATGCATCAACAATGAAATCTGAGACAATAGGCTGATATTTACAAAAGGAACAGTGAAATTTGAGACGATAGATTGATATTTTGCAAATTAGCTAATTACTATATAGTTTTCAGATTTTGGTGAGATGCTCTGTAATTTCGTATCGATTACATCCGATTGTCCCCACACATGTTCGTGTTCACTACATAATAACTCCATATAATGCATTTTTATTAAAGAATCTCTTGATAATCGAATCATTCTAGTTTCGTAACGGATAAAATTACATTTTACCAATATCTGCTGAGAATGTAATTCAAAATACTAGTACACCTAAAAACAATAGTACAACTGATAAATTAATTTGGAATTATAACCCTCAGTAATTTATATATCAGTGAAATGCTTGATTTTTAAGGGATTTCTTAAGTTGTCAACTATTGTTTATCAATAACTTTGAGAAAAATGCCTTTTACATAAACAATTTAGAAGATGGAGAAGATTTGTAGCTCAGGTGGATGATTTTACTGAAGTTTTGTTTTTTGAATTGGATGGTTTGGTCGTGAAGCTTTTATTGTTCTTCTGAATGACATCATACGCAAAAACTTCAGATAAGAGTCTATCTGGTTGGCCAAACCATCTAGCTCAGAGAACAAGACTCCAGCAAAAGTATTTTTTTGAAATTATAAGATTAAATGAATCATAACTAATTACATTTACTTAAACTATAGTGAATTAATTGTAAATAACAAAAAGTTTCATATTGAAAATGTACTAAAATTAATTATTTCGACTAACTTTCTCTTTATCTGTCATTAATGATGAATAAAATAGATGTTTTCGTTTATCCTCTGCTGACAAACTAATATCCCATAAACGTGGATCTGTTATCGGTATACATGGATCAACAAATATTCTATTATTACTGTTATTATCATTTAATAATGAATTATTATTTAAATGAAGTTTACCAGAAATCCTTTTTACATCAGTTTTACTACAAAATGTTGTTTTAACAGATACAGCTGACAAAGATCTTTTAGTGTGTGTATTATTAATAAATGGACTAGGTGGAGGCAATCCATTAATAGATGAAGTTCCTTTTCGCATAAGTGGTTTATGAGGAGTAGATAAATTACAAATAGAAACACTGGATCTATTGCATGAATCTTGATTAGATAATTTTACACTGTAATTGATATCGTTGTTATTTCTGCGTGAAATATAGAATTGATCACCTTTTTGTAGCAGTAACATTGACTCTGGAGTAATTCTTCCGGTCGCGCTTAAATTCTTATCTTTATTGAGCTCATAGTGAACATTGTTTAGAGACCTTGATTGACTTGTTGTTACAGATAATGATGAATGGTAGTCAGGAGGCAGTTGAAACCCACATATGTTGAACATATCTTTAACAACAGCAGTTTTTACTTCATCATCAAGTTGTGTATTAGTGTGTAAACTGAAATATAACGATTATATTTGTGACTATTTTATATTAAAGTATAATAAACGAATGAGATATGATCAAAACTCTAGTAGATGGTATCCTCCGAGTTCCAACGGTCAAATTTAAAGGAAAACGAAGGACAGAAAGTTATGACCTCAAAATGTATATTATGGTAGTTAAAATAGCTTCCAGTACAATAGACTTTACATAGGAATCATATTATTAGATTGTGATAAAACAACTTGCATGTCAGGTGTCTGGAACCACTTGGTAGTAAGGTTCCATCAAAAACTTTTTCGGTTAGGATGACAGCAAACCTAGGATTGTCATTTGGTGAAGTTTATAAAGACCAGGTATTATAATGCACAAAATGATACTTTGTTTTTTAAGTTATGATTATAAAAAGCATCTCTATGAGAACATAGACGACGTATTCTCACATTTATTGGGACTAGATGACTAATAAACATAGTACTATTTGTAAATAAAAATAATATATTTGTAATATCCCAATGAGTAGAAAATCGGATTTTCTGACGTTTCGTGTAAGTCACTTCTTCAGAGAATAAATAACCAAATTAAAATTAATCCAAGTTTAAATAATACAATGGAACAATGCAAGAAAAACATTCGTCAATCAAAAAACAGGTCTGAACAAGTTGATGTCATGTCATTTTTGTCAAGGTGATTCATAAGTGATATGTATGTAAATTTGTGTGTATGTTATGTGCATTGTTTAAGAATGAAAACTTGTGTGACCTTTATGGTAAGAAATGATAAAGTTTAAATTTGTAATATGATAGTGTGAAATTGTAAATACGATCAGACTGAATGGTTAGGATAGATGGTCCACGTAGGATGTATGGTACAACAGAAGAAATCCAAAGAATCTTAAAACATCACAGAATCAAAGTGTATTACAAAACAACGGACACACTACGTAATACTTTAGTTCGCCTGAAAGACAAAATCCCTTTCATGTCTACACAGAACTCCGTCTACAAATTAGGTTGTATTGATTGTGATGCCTATTATATTGGAGAGTCATGCCGCGAAATCGTGACTAGAGCCAAAGAACATATTAGGTACACAAAGGAACCTCCTAACAATCCTGCAGAATTGAACCAACTTCAAATTAAATCGGCAATAGCAGTTCATGCCATTTTCAACAACCACCAAAGGCTTTTCCAACTACAAAGAAAGGAGGGTAGCTGAGGCGTTCCATATAATGCCTAATCCTACTTCTCTCAATAGAAAGGAAGGTCTTACCATACATCCTACGTGGACCATCTATCCTAACCATTCAGTCTGATCGTATTTACAATTTCACACTATCATATTACAAATTTAAACTCTATCATTTCTTACCATAAAGGTCACACAAGTTTTCATTCTTAAACAATGCACATAACATACACACAAATTTACATACATATCACTTATGAATCACCTTGACAAAAATGACATGACATCAACTTGTTCAGACCTGTTTTTTGATTGACGAATGTTTTTCTTGCATTGTTCCATTGTATTATTTAAACTTGGATTAATTTTAATTTGGTTATTTATTCTCTGAAGAAGTGACTTACACGAAACGTCAGAAAATCCGATTTTCTACTCATTGGAATATTACAAATATATTATTTTTATTTATAACAATCAACCCAATGCTCAATTTATTCGAAATTATCAAACCAAACCTTTGTAATGATACCTATGTAGTACTATTTGATTTATATTTTTTGTCTAAGGTACATTTTAATATATCACTGATTAAGATTCCTTCCATCAACATTCTTAAATATGTGTTTCTCAGTCTGCGAGTCCAACCTTTTATTACGGGATTTGTCTGGAATGAATTCTCAAACTGGTTGCAAGGAATGAAATAGCTGAGAGCATCCACCACTCCCTTTATTTTGAATCACTCATCAGCCCTGGTAAGTTAATATCTGACAAAGTCTCCACATGGGTTTAGAGAGCTAAACTGGGTGTCGGGACTTGTGTTACCTATAATGTAGGCGAGATGTCCGTCTTTCAACTGAAAAATAACTTTGCTAAGCAGTAGTTGTCTCTGTTCTATTTTATGTATGTGAAACATGGCCGTTTGGAATAGAGCATATTTTCAGACTATTAGTGATCGATCATTGGCGTCTTCAAAAGATTGTTTGCGTATGTTGAGGCTTCATAGTAAATGTTGGTTACATTAGTAACAGGGCACTGGATGAAGTTGGCAAATCCGTCTTTGAACAAGTAAATCGTCACTGAATGAAGTGGCTAGGACAAGTATGACATATTCCCAACAGCTGTTTACCTTGATCAGAAATACTGATTTGAAGCGGGTATAGATTAGAAGAAAGCTAAATATGGACAACCCAAAGTATAATATCAATTCAACAAACCACTGATAACAATATGAATTATGCTGGCAAATGAAGACTACCTAGTTGGAGTCACTATGGTTCCTATAACCGACAGGTAGAAACCTTTGGTGTTATATGCATCAGAATTCGTTACATTGTAGTAGATCCATTCATCATTTATCTTCCTCAAGACACTAAGTTTCAAAATTATTTTATAAGTCCTATTCTGAAAATAAACTCTGTCCGCTTGAATCACATTCTTTATTACTGGTTGTTTCTTAGTACGGATGATACTGCTACTAATCCTAATAATTTGTTAAAAATGTTGGTAGTTTTATTGTCATGTGCTGATAGAGTGCACCAATTTGATGCGCATCAGCGCCAAGTTACACATTTCTTATTGTTGACTGATTTTATCTGATTTATTTTGGGCTATGAAAACAGGAACAGGTTACGCCCAATAATTCAACAAAGAATTAGCGATCTCTACTTAGTTTCACTAAGCAACTCGAAAAGCTTTATCATAATTTAAGTTGTAAATTTACAAAGATGAAAGATTTGATAAATTGGCTGTTGTATTCAACATCTTGATTAGAATAGAAAATCACTAATAACCCTAAATGATTTAGCTTTTAATACAAGTAGAAAATGTAAACCGATGTTTACTTCAATTTAGTTCAAACAGGAAAAACAGGGAAAGTCCACCAAAAAAAGATAGATGTTTAAATGAAACAATAGACATAGTAAAATAGTGAAACTTAGAGTTAAAATGTTAAAGAACAACATAGAGGGAATAAATCAGCTTCATATCTTAAACAGGTAGAACCACCAAATGAAAGTTCCTTTAAGTCCATAGAATTAAAGGATTTCATAGATTCATTCTATTTTTTAGTACTGAAAGTCTTGGTTTTCTAGACAGCTTAAATAATACTTGTTAACAACAATGACAAACTCCTTCTTGATGTATTATCATTATTTCGATTTTGTTTGGACGATACTTATCAGTAAAGTGAAAAAATAAACCACAAGGTTGGTTACTTTTTTTCTGAAACCTCGACCATCGGTTTAAATATTCTTGTTTTTTTTGCACAAAATAAAACATTTAAGAACTATTTCACTTTTCTGGGAATGTAAAAGGAGAGCAGTCGATAAACACAAACTCATTGATAGACTGGGTTGACAGGTAAGACAAACAATTAGTAACCAATTTATTGGAATGGTTCAAACGATTGTTAATCAGTTGTTTAGATCATAAAGTTTATTCACAATGAATGAATCTTTTAATACTGACGATAAGAAAATTAACTAGAAAAGCAAAATACCAACAATGTTGTATTCATAGGTATATATGTATATGCATAGACTTCGTGAACGCGTTGCAATGTAGAATGCTAATTACATCACGTGGTACAATGTAAGAAAAAATTAAGTGTTCCTTGATCATATTGTAATGAGATGCGTGCAGGTTACACTATATTTTTTTGGAGTTTAATTTTGATACCAACGTTTGATGTTAGTACTGCAAGCTAAAATAACATTTCGTAGCCATAAAGTGATTTTCAAGTTGCTTCGAACTCTCTCTCTCTCTCTCTCTCTCTACATATATATATATATATATATATATATAATGGATTTATGTTGATCTCTTAAAGTACTTTATCGTATCTGACCTTAGTATGCAAGATTCTTCATATAATATTTATTATATGTATTGAATGTTTCATAAAGCAGTGCAATTTGATATTTGTGGTCTTGTCTTACCGGTATCTGATAACCTGTAGCCTATAAATTTATTCATGCTTCTGTTTCTTGGAAAATCAATTCAAGGTTCTTACATGTGTGTTCAATCTTCTGAAGTCATTACTGTGATATTTGATATAGCTTTCACATACTACAGCTGCAATTCAAACTTAAGCCAATTCACACCAATGTAGGTGGTGATAAACCCTTATGATGCTTATTACTAAGTGATACGCTTTTAAGCGTTGTAAATTGTTTCGCCTCACGTTTCGTATGAACGTTCTTATCAGCAACTTCTACTGAACATCAGAAGCACTTAAACATAGCTGGCAATAAGCCCAAAATAGAATATTTTTATATAAAAAATTCAGTCTGTTATGGTATCATATTCTCTGGAGAACAGTTGGCTAAACCAAGTGATCTCAAAACATTGTTGAAAATTATATACTAAAATAAAACTAATAAGAGAACTGGCAACTAAAGCGGTAACAATTTATTTAGTGTTAAGAATGACCCATATTTTTAGATTGATTCGACACGTGGATCATTGACAATGATCTTTAAATTCATGTCTTGATAGGTAAAATACTATCGGTAATCTACTACTTTGTACAATAAATTTAGAATGGAGATAAAACCTACCAATGATAGTGTATAATTATAAAATCCTGAAGTAGATTACTAAAGATGAATGCGATTTGAAAAGTCTACACGGAAATGCCCGCTATAAAAAAAGCTTTGATGAATTTTTTTATTTGAAAAGGAATATCAACGAGACTATAATTCATGGATGAATCAATGATGTTAACGATAGACAGTCTTGGAATTCGGGGTGAATTACATTCAACCATATGACTAAATAGTATTTTGGAATTATGGATTATGTCAGTTAGTGATGATAACCCTGACTCCAATTCTTAACCTTAACTTATAACTTTAACTCTTATCCAAGCTCATCACACTAATCTATAACCCTATTTTGACTTTAAAAGTAGGTGGATTTCCTCAACGCTAATCAAGCATCACTCAATGGTTGTCCCGTATATCATAGTTTCACCAAAATATCTACTAATAATAAAATATAACGTTTAAATTTACATATTACCCTATTATAGTTGTTTAAAAGGTAATAATGATGATTCTCTGGTTGCTATTGTCGCACATTATTAAAAATAACGCCAGCATACCTCGGTGATACATTAACTTCTAAAAGCCATGGTTTAAGATCAGCATCCAATATGATGTCGAAACCAAATAATTCATAAACTGATGCACGTCGTCGACAATTCTGATCAACCATCGTTGCAATACAACTGACAACAGATGATAATGTCTTAAAAACAATATCAACAATACGTGACCACAGGTTAGGCACATCAGCTCCACGTTCTGTTAGATATGACCATAATGTGCTCAATTTCCTAAAATATATAGAAAATAATTTGTGATATGCATGAGTTATTGAAGACGTTTTTCATGCTTAAAATTGTAATGTTCATGAGTTAGTAAAATCCAAATTTACGTTATTTGTTTAAATTTTTTGAAATACAAGAAAAAAGGGATTAGACGACAAACTGTAATAGTAAGAAAAGATGGATAGTGGCTAGCAGCGGAATCCAGCACGCGGGTCTTGTCCGATTTGAGACTCATCAGCTGAATGTACCTGCATGTCAGAGTTAATGTTCATTACGGAACTCGACCCAGTACCGTTCGCCTCAAACGCCACCGCGTTATCCACTTAGCTACTGAGTCCTGAGAGCCGCTTGCTTGTGCAATGGGGTGAAGTTTAATTCACTTGGTATTGTCTCACTTGAATCTTCCCATTGATGTTTAAAACTGAAATTGATCCGTCTCTTATTGGTATATGTGCATACTGTGCATATTGCCTCGATATTAACTTAATTTGCAGGCATTATAAGCATACAGCTGACGAGTCCCAATTAGGACGAAACGCGCCTCTTGGATCCCACTGCTAGCCACCATCCATCTTTGCTTATAATACTTGTAAATTAAGGCAATATCGGGGCAATACGCACAATATGCACATATGCCAACAAGAGACTAATCAATTTCAGTCCTAAACATCAATGGGAAGATTCAAGTAAAACAATACCAAGTGAATCAAACTGCAATAGTGTTTCCACGTGTCAATGTGCTTAAATACTTTAAACACTATGCACTGGTTTGAATTTGTTTGTGGGATCACTTATAAAGTGGATGGCCGACTATTTATACTATTGATTATTTATCACAAGGTATTCTATTTATAAGTGTTTAGTAAAATATCAACATGATGGTATTTGTTAATGCTGTTTAGTATTCGTGATAGATTTGTGGCTAAAAAACCGTTTTAGTTTGATGAATAATTAAATCAGTATGGGGCTGTGGAGATAGTTTAACTTCATTGAAATCATGGATTGATCCAATTGAGACCACCATTGAAAACCAGGAAGCACTGGACGGCCGAAGCGTCCTAGTATAAGACTTTTCAGCAGTGTGTATCCATGACTCTGCAAGTGAGAATCGAACCCACGACATTTGGCCACGTGCTTAAAAGTTTAATCTCTAGGCTAGTGAAACTGTATCCAACTGTGTTAGTGTATACCTTCAATGCCATGAAATAACTAAGTGATAAAAACCATGCAGCGAAAGATTACCTGTGAACATAAGTTATATTTGATCGAAATCTTTCACATATGCTCATTTTTTTAATGTTCTAGTTTGTATTTCTATATATTCCTCAGTGCACATATCTGTAGTGATTTACAAAGAGTACTTCGGATAAGTGTTTGATTAAAACTTATGACTTCTATAAATCTTGCTTTGTTGGTATTGGTTGTCGTTTTTTTCGGATAAAGATGCTAGCGTAGTATTGAAATGGTTTCGATTAACCAGTAAACAAGTTTATAAGTTATTACTATTGAAATTGTTAGACAGATAATTTCTCAAGTTCCGAGAATTTCAACATTTAATGGCTGTTTTGTTATTTTTGTTTGGGAGAATACTTAGTTTTCACGGATATACTAGTTTCACGTAGCTAAAGAGCCTGTACACTCATCTTTATACTCATTAGAATGATCTGCCAACATCATACGATTCTTTAAATTATCAGTAGCATAGACCATATGAAATTGGAAGTTTTAAATAAAATGTAACTAGTTATTCACTAATCCTTTATTACTCAAACGCAAGTAGTTTTAACAATCAACATCATATATACAGAACTACTAATAATTATATTTACGATTAGACGATTATCATAATTTGTACTTGTCACATTGTCAAGGTGATGAGCTTATTTACTTGAACTTATCCATTTCTTGAAGGCAATTTTCATCATAAAACCAAACTTCAAAGAGTATATGACAATAAACATCTGTTACTTTTTTTCTTACTTGGAATAACTGTGACGTGTAATATTACGCCTTTCGTACAATCTGCAAGTTGATGGACCTAAATCGGTTGAACCGTATATTAAATTTCAGCGGTATGAATCAAATGCTATTTATAAGTATCTCACTTACGTTTCCTTGATTTCAGTATGTTAACTCTTCATCAGAACTTAGGCGAATTCATCTTAAAACTGTTCACTAATGAATGCAGAATTATTAATAACTTAAGTTGTTTTGTGAAAGCGTTATGTAGTGTAAACATAATTTCCACAAAACGTTCATATCAGCCTTAGATGATTCATAGGAGCAGACAAAAATTTAGTAGTAAGACAGCTGTTCACCTCTAACCTGTATAAGGATAGTCGAATACTACGAAAAAGCTATTGTGAACCCTTAAGCATCAACTCCATGGTTCAACCACTTCCTGTCCACCCCAAGGATACAAAATTATGGTTCAAAAACCTGTTGATTGCTGAATGTATACAACTGAGGATGGAAATTACTACAAAACAACACAAAAATTCCAAAATACCACCTGACCCATAAATAGGCCAATTATCAACATTGATTCAAGTTTTAAAGTAGGTCTCATTAAGCATAATGAACTGAATAAATGTTATCATATGAAAAAATAACAGACGAGAACACTAAGTTTAATCATTCATAGACAAAACCGACAAAGCCTACTAAAAACTAAAAGTCCTGATCAACTGATTAATAACAAACAAGTATAGAAACAAACACTTTTAAACTGCAAGAATAATTACTTAATACTCACCATTTATGATTCGATACAAATGATTCTTCCGTTTTATTATATTTATTAACAGAATAATTTGTTAAATGTACAAAGCGATTTCTTAATTGTTGAACAGAAGTAGAATATCTATGTCAAATAAAAGGTTATAAAGGAAAGGTGAATAAGAAAACTCGAGACTCAAAACTGATATACTAGTCAAATAAGGTTAAACAAAATAGAACAAAAGAGTTTTAAATACAATAAAATGAAAGTTATGATTGGATGGTTGTGTATTCTACTGTTTCAATCTTCTGTTTTAAATGAGTACATTTCCACTCTAATTCAGTAATGCAAATAAGAAATGATAGATAGATTGTAGAAGATAATGAATGTCAGAATGCTTATCACTGAATGTAGATTGGTTTGATAAAGTTCATTGCAGATTGATTATTTTTAAAGTCCTCCTACTAAATATACAACATAATGCAAAGCATGCGTTTACACATGCCTTATATTTACGAAAAAGACTTTTTTTAATAAAAATATATCCAATTATCGATACTGTTTTTGATTGAGATCATTGATGTTAAACCACCACTGAAAACCTGGTAGCACTGGATGGCCGTTTCGTCCTATCGTGGGACTCCTCAGCAGTGCGCATCCACGATCTCGCTTGCGGGATTCGAACTCAGGGTCTTCAGTCTCGCGCGCGAACGCTCAACCTCTAGACCACTGAGCCGGCTTCCCACAGTGTTAATGTCTAACCTCAGCCAATCCACGAAATTGCGCAACCATCTCCTATTGTACTGGGGTAGATAACTGTCGCAACCCGATACGGATTAGTTCCACTGGTCATGGCTTCTCACTAGAACTCCAAGAGTTCCTTCACGAAGTTAGTCACTATTGATCACATGGTAATTATCAGTATATGGTTGTTGAGACCCCGTGAGCGATATCTTCGATGCACACTGCTTTAAAGTCCCACAATAGGATGAAACGGCCGTCCAGTGCTTCCAGGTTTTCAATACTGGTCTAACACCAATCGGTTCATGATCTCAATCAAAAACCTAATAATCTTCACTACTGTATACTGATATCGATACTGTATGAATTATCTAGTAATGCAATTTTTTCGTATATCATTCAATGTACAATAATTTCGAATCATTGAATAACAAGGCGAAATTTAAGCAATTAAGGTAAACTAAAACATTTAAAAGTCGTCTTATTTTCAATTCAGCAGTTAACTCTATCATAGTCCGCTAGAATAAATTCTAAATAATTGTCAGCTTTATTATTATTATTACTTTAACATAGATCAGGAGTATAAAACAGTGATATTTCTAATCTCGTTTAAACAGTAATTTAGTAAATCAAAGTCATAAAATAGTTATAGAATACAAAGAAATGGAAATAAATAAAATTTACTTTTGTGAAGCAAATCTCACCAAACCTTCTCTATATACATATGCTCGAAGTGGACTAAAGCCTGCCACGAAAACATATAATCTTATATCAAATTTCTTGCCATCAATTAAATATGGTTGATTAATATATGACTGAACAATTACACGACGTTGTTTAGGAATGTCAGACCAACCACGAACTAATTTTACTCCGATCCCACGAGCTGATGCTGGCTATTATAATAAGAGTAGCAAGATACGTAACAGTTAGTTTTAGCGAACTACGACAATAAATATAGTCACATGAAGTATCATCATTTTTCGAATCGGTATCGATAAAAAACAATCATGGTTTACTTCGACACACAAATTGCACGCTAATCGTGTTCAATAACACTGTTGATAAATAAAAGCTGCTGAACTGTTTTAGTAAAGTTTATCCATCGATTAAATTCACCAGTGAGGAGGGATAGTACTGTAGCATAGCTTTCCTGGATTTCCTTCATTTTAGAAGATTGGACGTATTGTAAGAGGGAATGCATGGACAGATCAGTATACTCGCTTGTAAAGCTTTATATCCGTTTAGTGTCACATAAATCTGGTTAAATGTTTCAACCATAGAATCAAATGTTATGCCTTTAACACAGTATGAATGAAGAAACGGTTAAGCTAAAGAATGCATTATAAGATGTTTATCCAGAAAATTTCATCGGAAATTATTTGTCCAAACCCAAAAACAAGACGACGGACGACACACTAAATACGAAAATCTTTTACCTAATACTTTGTTTTAAAGGAGACATAGCTAATGCTTCATTAACAAATGTACTTGGAAGATGTATTAAAAAGACGTTTAACATGGCTAAATCGCATATGACTTTCCGAACTAATTCACCACTTAAACAAGAAATCAAAGGTAGAATACTGATGATGAGCTCGTTCATGTGTGTATACCAAATTAGCCGCTGTTGAGGAGCTAATAACGGTGACCTTACTCAATGGGTACTACCTCTTTGTGTTCGTGAATATGTACCAGGATGGTTAAGAAAATGATTCACTGAATCAATCAATAAGACCATAATTTCCCAACTAGTAGAGAAAATCAGATCAAAGATTTGCAGTTCTTATGAAGCCCAAAGCTACCTACTTAGAGAAGCAAAATTATAACTCCACTACGTAGCGGAAGCGATCGTTATTAACTCCTTGACAGTAAATATATGGGTTTAAAGGGGCTATATTCAACCCCACTGCTGTCGTACTTATGATTTGGTCGCCCCACATCTGATGTAATAATAGACCTTTACGCCTTATACAATTTCCTTTTAAGTTTATCTCCACCATCTCATATTTATGCCACACATCATCTTTAATTAATATAAATTTTCAATCTTAGTTTCATTTGCCTTATTAAATATTTTATCCACTTAACTAGGCTAGTACTATTATTATTGTCATTATTATTAACATTATTATCTCAGTACCATATCTTCTACTATGTATTTTATTTACATGATTGATTTTATTATGTTGATTGAAGCCAGATATCTTACAATTAGTTTTGTCACCTCTATCCTCAGATGACCTTTTTGATTTACGGATGACTACTCCCCTTCTATATCTGTATACCTTAGTTGATCCGAAAGTCTACAATCGTAACATTTAACGATGTTTATTACAATTATTCATGAATGATTTATTTTGGTCATTGTGACACATTTCTTATGGATTCATAAATGCAGAGGCTGATAAAGAAGTTATTGAAAACTATTTTTGCTCAAACATTCATTGTTTTTAAATGTTCTATCATCCTAATTGGTTATATCATATTGTATGAGAATATACTTGAACTGTGTTCGTTTGGGAGTAATGATAATATTTCTGGAACCTTAAGATAAACTCGTGTTTGAATTTATGTTTTTTCTAATACTTACTGACTGAGTTTTACTGGAATAATATTGCTCTGTACTATTTACATTTACATTTTAGACCAATAATTTTGGCAGTAAATGGCGGGAGAGATTGTGCAGGATCGTTGATGTCATCGTATAAATAGTTTACATGATGATAATGGTTTCCTACTTTCAATAAAAACCTCAAAATTGTGAGCTACATAAGTGTTTAATCTCTTTCTGCCACAGTGGTCAACAAACATAGAAAACACTTCTAACGTCAAAGTTCTAAACTCTTTTCATTGACTACGAATGATACGATGCCTCAAGAGAGAATGAAACACAGTGTGAATTACCTGAAGATAAAATAAAGTTCAGTTACATCATATTAATTTGAATAAATCTACATGTCGTTTAATGAAAGCCTAGGTTTGGAGACAAAAATGTTTCTAAACACGCAGACATTAAACAAAGTTGTAACATAATAGACAACTTCATAGAGTTGTTTAAGTAGGCATATTTAAGATTTATGAAACTATTTTTAAAAGCTCTATGTGAAAGAAAAGAGGACATGAGATTTTTTGTGGTCAAGTAGAATTCATGATGGTTATCAAGAAGTTATCAGTCAGTTACTGATGATCAATGTGATACATGGTACTGATATGTGTTGGACTAAGTTGCCAAACCGTATAAGTAAGATAAAGCCGAATGAAAATATGAGAGGAATGAACAACAATTAGATAGAACTAGAAAGGAAGTCCAGGACAGAGTGTGTTTGAGAATGCTAATCGGCGGCCTATGTGGTATGATGGAAAGAAAAGTCAATTTTCGATTGATTTACTCATTATGAGTTTTGTTCAAGATTACTTCCGTTTTGATTCAATGCGATGATTACTCAATGTATTATTTGTTTTCTTTTCTCGTATGATATTTTATTCTGTATAATATGCGATATTCTTGTCTTCCATTGACATGAACTATGCTCAGTGTGTGATTTGTTATAACTTTGAGTATTTTTCATATATGTGATTTCATCCTAATTATTAATCGAAATGGGTGTACAATCAATATATAAATGAATGTATTTTCTACTAGAGTCGTCATCGTCGTCATATTTTGGGGTTAATAAATCATCACTTATACCAGTCTTTGTGTCCTCACTTTCGCGTCATGGAAATTGCAGAGGTCTCTCGTTCCGAGTATAAGTGATAAGCGTTTCCTACATAACAATCAGCAACGACCAGGTACTAAAAGTAGCATTAAAAGAGCCAAGATAATAAGCAGTCAAACGACAAGTTATAACACTATGCTCTATTGGAAGTAACAGGCGTAGTAAGCAAGTTAGTAAGTACGCTTATTACAGTCATTTAGTACATTATAAAAGCTGATTTAACTGTGAATTAAAATTCTAACTTTTCTATTCTTTATCCAATGGTTTTAGGCACACTTACTGGTTTCATAATCCATTTAGGTCGAAAATGAAATAAGGCTTCGTCATTTGATGACTTTTTACTTGTAGTTTCATTATGTGTCCAAAATTCCCTCAATGATTTTAAATCTCCTGGTAAGCAAAATGTTCTTGGCACAAAATCAATTGACTTTTTACCAAAACGGGAGCGTAACTGATTTAAATTTATCCATAATTTATCTTTACGACCTAATTGAAATGAACCAGGGAAATGATTTACTTTTGATATTCTCTTACAGGACGAAAACCGAATGGTTTTAAATGATTTCCATAATATCCAATCCATTCATTTGATTCTAAAAAATGAAAAAATAAGTAATTATTAGAATAATGGTGCTATGTTTTATGGTCTAGGAGCAGGTTGGAAGAAAACTAGGGGCGGCCAGACAAAAACATGGCACAAATCCATGAAGTCACTAACAAGTGGACTGAGCCATGTTGGTAGATGTAGACTAACTGGTAGGGACCTGCGATATGATAGCAACCGATGCTCAGAGACCTTGAATGACATGGCTCAAAATCGTTTTCAATGGCGCAGGTGTATCCATTCTTTGTGTTCTCCCCAATCCTAATCTTCCAAACTCTTCGTGTCCCCTTTTTTTCGCTTTGCAAATTTATTTCACTAGATTATACTCCTTGAATAACATCTTCAAACCCTAATGTTTCCGATTACTGCTTATGATCTTACTACTTCTACCACTATGGAATTTGAATCGACCACTGCATCTCTGTGCTAATGTGGTATGGCAAGTCAAACTGATGTAAGTACGTACGTGGTTGTACTGAACTTTTCAAAGGATTACTTTCAAGTTGCCTCTTTTGATTTATTTCGTATATATATATATATATATATATATATATATATATATATATATATATATATATATATATATATATATATTCAACTTCAAGGCAAAATACATCAGTTCAAAAATCTTTGACGAGTTTTATCTCTGTGCAGAGTAAAATGGAAATATCCTTAGTGTTGAACCCTAAACGTTTGTGCAAAATGGTTCAACTTTACGTAACTCAGCTTCAACTTGTTTTCTCTGAGATTGTCAAAATAAATTTCAACCTATTTATACACAACAAAATGCACCTTATGATGAAAGTATAGTTAACCTTAACCGTTATCCACTTAAACAACTATATAGTTTTTGAAATGAGTAATTTAAAATACTTAAAGGTAACCGCTTTATCAGCTGTTAAAACTGATCTCCATCAGTTTTGTTTTATACACTATAATAGCTGGTACCAGATTTTAACAATCTATAATATTCTTCATTTCTGCTAGATCCCTACTTTTTTAAAGGTTACGAATGGCAAAGCTTTCATTTATAATGATTACCGATTAAGATCTTAAAATAATGTGTTTCAAGCACGTGAAAATTTTTATTTTCAGTAAATTAATTGATTGCCTTACTAAATAAACGGACTTTGGAACATCCATTTCAGAGTAAATTAATTTTTTAAGAAAACAGTATCAACATTAGGAAGAATATTCTTTTCATTCAAAAACAAATTCATACTTAATGTTATCCGAAAATTAGATCTTCTTAAGACACGTTTAACCACATTTGGTGTAATAGCACTGGGACGCCAGAGAAGTTGATATCTGTAAGGTTTCGGAAATTTCGGTACTAGAAGTAGATTAGATGGAAAAAAATTATATTTGAAGTTAATGACAATAGAAACTAGCATTACATTGTTTTGGAATTCAATAGCTATACTGTATCACTCTGTGTACAACATATATTTATTTCAAGCAAACGATTTGGTAAAGAAAACTCCAATTTATGTCTAGTTCAAGTTATGTACAGAAAAAAGGGCTATCAAATACAGTGATATGGAATCACCAAATTAACAAACTGGAAACATTTCATTTACACAATTGCATGACATGTTTTACTCCACAGCATCAAGGCATCTGTACAATCAAGGGGTATTGATTATGAATACTACTCAATTCACAAACATCAGTAAATAAGTCCTAGATAACAGAAACTCATAAACCAATTAATAATTCGCCAAGAAAAAAAGAACTTTTCAGACGTATTAACATAAAACTATGGACGATAATAACATACCAACTACTGTGAAGTAGTTTGATTTAAAGTAATTGTCCTTAAACCAAGTATAAACTTACCATCCAGTCTTGTTCAACAAGAACAAATATATCGGGTTGTTTTACAATAAACTATCAGTAAGAATTATATTAAAATAAACACTAGACTATGCACTTTTATAAAATGATAATTGTGGTTTGAATAAATCTACTATTTATTTGTTTATTCATTTATTTTGATGATATCCGAATGAATGCAAATTAAAGTCTTAGAAGATACATTGACAGAAAAATTAAAAATCTGGTATAGAAACTTTACTCGATGATCAAAGAACGTGGGTTGCATATTATGAGAATACCTGAACACTTTTATCCGATCAAATATATGTATGGCTTTTATCGCCAAGAAACATCTGACAGAGATTTTATGAAAACTAGAAATTGGTAGGCGACATACTTTGAGACACATCATCAGTCAGCATCACGACAAAACATGGGATTGATACAAAAAGTGATCTAATTTCTCATCAATGAAATTGAGGATTAATCATTCTATAAAACAAGTTTACTTAAGATTTCTACCGATATCTGGGTTTAAGGCTGTTGTTGAGTGAGTTACATATTAGTATACTGACTTGATCAGCTCAATGTATGTGACGTTAATATTGTTAATCTGTGGAATTATTACATCACAGCAACCTGTAACATGTCTTACATTTTGGGGATGGAAGAATCATTTATGTTTGCTTTGTGGTAGAATTTCAATGTCAACCTTTCTAATTGGAAAAATGAGGGGATCAAAATTAGGAGCGTCCTAGATATGTTTGTTAAATTCTTTGTGTATTACGAGGTAGCTTCAGTACTGTCTTAAACTCAAAACCGAAAAAAACTATAGTAGGGTATCTATTTGCACAATGATTAATGTTCAAACACTTTTATAAATCCAAAGTGTTCAGAATGTGAATTTACCCTGTTATATACACCTGTGGAATTTGGCCCATAGCAAAATTTTCACTGACATATAAAATGAAACAAAGTTTACTCACCAATCTGTTTACCATCAACAAAGCGCAAAACTGATGGTGTATTGGGAAATAGGGATGCAATGACTGGTGGTAGAATTTCTTCTGGTATATTACTTAGTCGTCTTGTACATGAAACATCTGAATCCGACATATCTACTGCTGACTGTAAAAATAACAAATAAACTTAAAGAATAAAGCTCATCATTATGATGTCTAGTTAAATAATATGGTTGGTTCAATAATTAATATCATCGTTTTGAAATATTCTTAATCGATTCGGTATAAAACATTTTCAGCGTATATTTATACATCCTTAAACTATATTTAATTATCTTTTTATAAACAATCATTTGTTGAGAATCTTGGATATATCAAATTATTTTATAAAAGCTTACATCCAGTTCGTTCGTAATTATTATTTTAGTGTTATTCTGTATTATTAGACCTAAACTAGTTTGTGTGATTTTGGTTGATTTCGATGTTTATTTATTTCCAGAAACTTCAGTGAAGCCATACAGTGATATTAAAACGACTTAACATATTAGAAACAATTCTGTCCTAGATTTCAGCATAACGTATCCGCGAGATGACCACAATTTGCTGAATAATATGGTTTAGGACTGGTTGAAATTATGAAGATTTATCTATTCTTTATTCTCCTTTAGAGCTTGAGTTTCACTGTATCTTCAAAAATACCTGTATGTTTCGTATTCAGGATCTATTTTATCAGTGTTTGGTATCTCTCACTATCATTGTTACTAAAATTATTTTGACTCTTTGACGTTGATTATTGTTAACTTAGTCTCATTGCGCTGATATGGTATAGGAACTTGTGTAAATGCACATCTTTGTACAAGATTCACCTCACACTCACGAATGAATGATAATAAAGTGGATTGTTGGTAAAACGATAGAATTTGATGGTGTTCTCTAGACTCGATAAAAGTTTCATCATCAGGTTACATAACAGGGTTACTGAATAAGCTACATGTTCTAACAAGTAAAATGTAGAATAGTTCTCTTTTTTAGGGATTGACGAATCAATCTATAAAATAACAACTGTAAAATGCAACACCAAATAAAGTATAGTAAAGAATTCATGAACAAAACTGACTTGAAATAAACTATTATATCTAACAGTCTTAAACATGTTTTACTAATTTTATTGAGGTAATAGTAATGTATGAAATGTTTTTAAACTGGTTACAACCTTAACGATTTTTGCTAAATTGGATCCATCTTAATAGACTGATAACTCAACCAGTATTTAAGAAAATCATAATAAGAAGTAAGTGTATATGGTCACATATAAGCTGCTTACTTCATTATCATCTATTATCACTGTATCATCTTCTAAACACTCTAGCTCTTGATCATTATCACTTTGATCTGATATCCGGTCAACATTTTTGTCTTTTCCTACTGATACATCATACTGATGTGGATTATGTAAAATATTCTCATTAATTAAAGTAAATTCCTCTTTTTCCTTTGGATATTGAGTACATAATTCAAAAGATTTAAGCGGAAAATTACGTTTGCCACTAGTTTTATTCATTTGATTTGTTTGAATATATTTATCTTTAAAATAATTATAATTATCTTGTGTTGATATGGAAGAATTTATTTCATTTTCTAAAAATTGCTTATTATTTGATTGTTGTAAACATTTCGATTTAATACACGTTTGTTGACATGGTTTCGTGTTTTTTGAAGATAATTTTATCTGATTTGACTTTTGTAAATTATTGGATGCTTTCTTTGTAAATTTACTATCGTTTATAGAAAGTCTATTCGTACGTATCATGAGACTATTTCTAGGTGATGATACAGGCGATGGAAATGATGATGTTGATGACGAGGATGACAAAGATATTTCTGAATATTCATCTGTTTCATGAATTTCATGTTTTAATGATAATTGTTCTAGACGAGCAGTTAGTTCTTGAGTAAACTGTTGTCTTGTGATTGAATTTTTTGTAGATTTAGATCCAGTATACATTGCTTTGTCTGTTTGAAATGTCATGATTTAAAATATCTTTATATGCCTCATATTACTCTCACTTGAAAGATGTGGATAGGAAATATGATGACAATATCAACGTACCAAGAAATTTTTTTAGGCACATAAAAACAAATTGGTGGGAAATCTAACTGAGTATTTGTTCAGCGTTCTATGTTTGTAACATTTTACAAACTAGAAATAAAATTCCTGAAATTAAAACGCAAAATCTCATTAAAATTTTGCTGAATAAAGACTGGTAATTCATCAATCGTGAAAATAATGAACACCCTTTGATGTCAGTACAACAGTAATAAAAAGCGTTTCATGGAATTACATTTATGAACGTTTACTTTTACAGTTAACAAGAGATTTTTCTTAGAATATATCTGCTCAGGTCATTATCGTAAAGTACCGGAGTCACAATATATGAAGTTATCGTTTGTTGTTAAGAGCTTTTTGAAGATGTGCATATACTTACTTACGCAGGAGCATAGGTCGCCCACCAGCACACTCCATTCAATCCTGTCTTGGGCATTTATTAGATGCATTTCTTAAATTACCCAAGATTATGATAGTATATTACTGATAATGTTTGGTAATGAACATGAAATGTAGTTATTTATAGCAACTAAGGTCTAATCGGGTTTACGTAATACCTTGTTTACGTAACTATATCCATTTATTCCGATTTTGTATGATCTATTCAATTTCTAGCAATCTTGACACCAATATTAATATTGTTCTTTTAGTTGGCTACGTTTGTTTAGATATTGATTTTTGCAGCTATTCTAAAATATAAAATGTCCCGTTTTGTGATTAATAAATATTTGTACTATATACTATCCTTTTAATTGTCATCATATCGATATTGATTTTGTATTTGAGGACAAATATGAAACAATAATATTAACCGCTAGCTAAGACTAAAATATCAAATACAGTTAATGATGGAAAATGTAATATGTTGTCATAAATTAGTCTTATTATCTACAAAGAATGAAACTTATCCCTTTAGAATTAAGAAGTAAACGAGTAATTTGGAATTATTGCTTCAGAAGCCTGATGTTAATAAAATAGAATTACAAACTATTTTATTAACTTAAACAGCAATTCAAAACGCACTGGACTAATATCTTCGTTCCTCACACGTTATACTTAACTACAGCTTATCTGGTATCTACAAGAGGTACTTGTATAAAGCAATAAATTATTTATTAATCAGAAACAACTCATTTGAAAACAAGGAAATTGATAAAAAATACGATGAATCTAAGCATTGTTTCAAGTGTTCTCGTTTTATGTTAAAAATAATAATCAAACAATAAAAAGTAAAGTAAATTAAAGAGGAATGAAGAAAAACGAAAGTCAAAAAATTTTGTCTGAACTTATATCGATGAGTATCTTTGTTTAAAAACTTCGTATATTTTTGTTAACTCAGGAACAGATTAGTTTTAGGTTCAAATACCTTAAAGCATAACTATTTAAATTTCATATACATAGTTCCCTTTATCATTTTTGCTCTATTTAAATTTCAGTTGTTATATTTCGGACGTTTTTAAATGACATCGCTTTATTATTTTTATTCCCATGAAAATCGAAATACTAATATTATGAACAATCCAAATGAAAACGAGTAATATGACATATTTGGAGTGTTCGAGACGACGTCATTGTCAATGAAGCTAACAAGCTTATCAAGATTCCATTAGATTAAGTAAAGTAATGATCTCCGTAATGCCACACTAGCTAAAAAAACGTCAAACGTTATGGTATCCACAATATTTAGATACCGAAATTCGACAGAAATCCGAAAAAATCAGAAACAGTCCTCATCACTTATCAAATAGATCACAATGTTTGCCAAACTACTCTCAGATGAATTTGTACCACATTTAGAATGTTAAACATTGCTACCACTTACAAGACAATTATAATAATATCTAGCAAAAGATAATATACGGAAGGCCGCAAATGCAAACGTAAAGTGGACATCTGGTAGGCGACCGTATTGTTCAGGTTTGTTCATTATATCATCAAAATGAAATTTGAAAGATGTGGTTTGGTTTACTTAACAAAGTTCCATAGTAATTTTTAATGGACTTAAAATACTTTTAAGTAGTTTATAGCATCCCATATTGACAGTCAGCTCTCATGTTTTTTCCACTATATTTAGGATACATTTTGCTACAGACTATTAAACTGCTTAAACCAACCGTTGAGTTTGCATATACTCTGCGCAAAACAAAATTTGTTTACATTTCCAACAGAATGACACTTCAATTTGATTATTATTTTAGAATAGGTCCTTGTTCAACAGCCAATTGAATGAACGAAAGTGCTATTTACTAACCTTATACGCTACAGAAACGGTTCAACATCTCATGACGTAAATGGTAGGCCTTCTTTTAAACTTTGTTATCGGGAAATGTTATTTACCATGAAAAGCTGATAGCTAACCATATATAAAGGCTTTGCGAACATGTCATACTCGGCGCAGAGTCCTTGTACTGCTTTAATAACTTAGACCATTAAAAACTTGGTGCTTTATAACCCTGTTTTATGCTTTATTGCCTATTGATTCATATTCTAAATGCACAGATCCAGATGAAAATTTACTCCAATAGCAATGAGGAAGATATTTTGCTATTAAGGAATGTCCAGTAATTCAGCAACTGATAATAAAAATCACTGTTCTAGGGAAGATTAAAATAACTGGTTTAATGATATTGGATGCCGCTTCCCTTCAGGATTCCAAGTTAGGGCTTGCACCGTGATGCAGTTTGACGATTTGCGTAATGTATGTCCTATCCATTTCCAACGTCTCTTCCTAATTTCTTTTTCAGCTGGAAGTTGGTTTGTTCTCTCCCACAGAAGGCTATTGCTGATGGTATCCGGCCAATGGATGTTGAGTATCTTGCGTAGACAGCTATTTATAAATACTTTTACCTTCTTGATGGTTGTTGTAGTTCTCCAAGTTCCAGCTCCATACAGTAGAACTGCCTTGAAGTTCGTATTAAAGATTCTCACTTTGATATTGGTTGAAAGTTGTTTTGAGTTCCATATGTTCTTCAATTGTAGGAATGCGACCCTTGCTTTGCCGATCCTCGCCTTTACGTCTGTATGTGATCCTCTTTGTTCATCGATGATGCTTCCTAGGTATGTGAAGGACTCAACATCTTTCAGGTTCCAGGTTGATAGCTATAGCATTGAAAAAGCGTCAGTGTCCGTAGTCTTGTCTCATAATTAACTAGAAGTTACAGTGAGTCACGACTTAAAGACCACTGCATACTGCTATGCGGTTTCAACTAAAGGATTCAAAACCCTAAAAGCACCAAGATGGACATTTTTCATGTTACCCACGAATATGCTCACCACAGTATACACAATATAGTCAGACCATAACTTATATACTGAAATTAGGCTGCAAGCCATTGTTTAAATTGTGACTCGAATATCTTCGAAAATGTGCAGAAATCAGCTGCCCGTGCAATGTCATTATTATCACGTTTACCAAATGTAGAGAAAGCCGAGAAGTTAGACCTCTCTCGTTTTTCTTACCGCAGATTCAGAGGTGATCTGATTTTCATGTATGAGGTAATATGAAATGATTCGGACCCGATGTATCTTCTTTTTTATCCCTACTAGATCAGGACAACTCATATGACATAACAAGTAAGTTTGCAGGTCAGGAACGAACAAACAACCCGTGGGGTACAGGTTTTCAGACAAGGTCATCAATACCTGGAACCTATTACCTGAAGAAGTAGTGTCCGAATCTTTAAATGATTTATTCAAAAGATGACAAGACTCTCACAAAACTCACTACAAGAGGACAAAAACGGAATATGGTATTGAGGATTGAAAACCGGGGACTGAGTCTGAATCTGACCATCTACCAGAATTATAATTCACAGAATGAGTAGTCAGGTAATAAAGATTCTTGATTTTAATGATCACTTAGTTCACAGAAGACATATAAACCAACCGGTGACCAATGGGACAGGTGATCTCAACTATGATTCCGATTACGTTTAGAATTAATCTGAATTCTGTAAATAATTTCCAATTACAAACAGATAAAATCTGGTTTTAATGGGTCCCTTATTATTAATGACTCTTAAGACAATCTCGAATTTTAAATGAATGGAAATCAGTGTTGAAAAATCGAGATTTTAAAAAATCGCAAAAAAACATTAGCGACACATTAGCAAATATCCGTGTGCAGGTGTGGCGAATCAACATTTGCCACATGATTAAATGTTATATAATGCGTTTAAACTAATTATAGCAGTATAATAAACTTTCATTCTGAATACATCAAATTTGAGTATTCGCTTGTGACTTGCTGAAGTACTAGACTAATTGGGATTAATAGTAATTCGCTAGATTGTTTCAAATTCAGATAATCACAGTAGCTGGATATTTTGTTGAGATATCATTTAAAAAAAAGCTTCAAAAGTCATGAACCATTATGCTTGCTCAGACATCACGTAAATATTGAATTTATGATGAATAACCCTAATCTTCCTACTCTGAGGAGACTTTTGTCCATTTTGAAAAACTTCTGATGAAAAAGCTTCGAAAAACTTGGTTAAGGTTGAGAGGTAATTGTGTGAATTCTTCACGAGCTTCCCAGGACTGTGAAAAATCTTTAAAATGTTTGGGAAAAATTTGTGTTTTCCTCATTATTTTACCTAAAGGTTGCAATACTTTCATTTGTTTCCTCAATTTTTAAAAAACTTTGGATAAAAACATCGAATTTTTTACAAATTCGGAGTAAACTCCAACATCCCATTGAAGAACGGGACTCCAGGATATAGTTAAAGTTTTCACTCGAATGTTTCTACATTTTTGTCACACTATTCTTAAAACTAACAAAATAGTTCAAAACGGTTACACATCTCTTTGTGTCCTCCTATCAGTTGAAAAGCTTGTAATATTTATATTGTGGAGATAGGTCTGACAAACATAAGTTATCCCGTGTTTATATATGTGCATAAATATGAAAAAACACTGGAAGTAAAATGTGCAATATTGTTTAAAAACTGTTTCAAATGTAATACAAGTGCGCATTTTATTTCAGAAAATTTGGAAAATCAATAGAATTACCGGTTCTAACACATACGCGAAAAACACCTAACGCACATCGGGTCAAGGTCAAATTTAAAATGTGAAAAGCATTGAAGGTCGGCAATGAGCTTTGACCT